ACTCTGTAAGCACTCAACCAGTGATTTTAGTCAAATACCTAAAGCTTAATTCATCTGGCTAAATATGCCTAGCCCAAAGTGGCTATAACCTACTCTAGATGTGAAAAATATATATAAGGGTCACATAACTTAACCCTATTGTCATTGCTATTATTGCAATGCAAACTTGATAGAACTGTCCTTGTCAATTAATCAATTTCTCTTAATCTTTACCATCCTTCATTTGTGTTCTATGTGAACATATTCTGGAAAGAAAATGAAAGGAAGAAAGAAAGGGAGGAAGGGAGAGAGGGAGGGAGGAAAGAAAGAAGGTAGGGAAGGATGGGGGATGGAAGGAGGGAGAGAAAGAAAGAAAAAGAAAGAGAGAGAGAAAGAAAGAGAGAGAAAGAAAGAGAGAGAAAGAAAGAGAGAAGACAGAAAAGGGTGGATGGATCCGGTTGAGATGTCTGGATTGTGATAAAATTCTTTTTTTTTTTTGAGGTGGAGTCTCACTCTGCCCACTAGGCTGGAGTGCAGTGGTATGATCTCGGCTCACTGCAACCTCTGCCTCCCAGGTTCAAATGATTCCCCTGCCTCAGCCTCCTGAGTAGCTGGGACTACAGGCGCCCACCACCACGCCCAGTTAATTTTTGTATTTTTAGTAGGGACGGGGTTTTACCATATTGGCCAGGCTGGTCTCAAACTCCTGACCTTGAGATCTGCCTGCCTCTGCCTCCCAAAGTGCTGGGATTACAGGCGTGAGCCACCATGCCCAGCCTCTTATTTTTAAAATATTTTCCGTCAGCATTATAATAGTAATACCAAGTGTTCAATAAATTATGTCAAGCTCCTACTTTCTAGGATCTTAACAGTTTCCAGAAAGCCTATGTGAGTGGAGCTTGCTGAGAGTCAGAGCTATAGGGAAGAAATGGGTAGGAGCTGTAAGACCACCTACTGCATAAGAATCTGGTAACAGCATCCTAGACACTACCTCTCACCTCAATATGTGTAATAGGCTCTCCATTCCCTGATAACCTCAACAACCGTTTTACAAAAACCCAGCTGTTTCCCACTTCAAGGCCAAGTATGCCAAAGAAAGAGCTTTCAAAGCTACAGGAAAAGGTGAGGCCTGGATATCTTTTCCCTAGCATTTATCTTAGACAGACCCATATATACACCTAGCCCCCCATCACCTTCTCCACCCACACACACACCTGTCCTGGATTCAGTGTATCTAAAGATTCGGATTGTATGCCCTGGAAGCTCAAAGTCCTTGCTCAAAGGCTTAATGAAAGTGTAGCACCTTCAATAAGGAGATCAAGACAGCCCTGGGAAGGAATTCATGATCTGCCCTGCTGGAGAGGTTCAAAGAAGGAGCGGGAGTACCCTGCCCTGCTCCCCTAGCTCTCTGAAACTATACAAAGATCATTTCAAGGAAAGCACTACACTTTTTTCCCAGAAATGCCTGCCTCACAGAGGTCTACACTGGTGGTTCTTAAGTGGGGGCAATTTTTGCCCCCCAGGGGACATTTGACAATGTCTGCAGACTTTTCTGGGTGTCTTAACTGGGGTAGGCACTACTGGCATCTATAAGTAGAGGCCAAAGATACTGGTAAACATCTTACAACACACAGGACAGCCCCCATGGCAAGGAATTAATCATCTAGCCCAAAACATCAATATTGCGGAGGTTTGAGAAATCCTGGCCTAGAGCAAACCCCTGCTGCCTTGGAGAAAGCATTCCCTCAGAACTCCTCCAGCCACTTAGGCAGACAGCAGACAGGAGCATCCGGAGGGGAGTCCAAGAGAATCCCTTCTCAGGCCCCATACTAAGAATGGGGAGGTCTAGCAGACTCCTTCCTCCTTCTGCTTTGCTTCTAGAACACAAAACCCTGGCATCTGAAAAGATTAAATACAATCCATGATTCCCAGCCCGCCAGGCTGCATAACCCTGCCCCTCATATCCTATTTCCCTCCTGCATCCCCTCATTCTTGAAACACAGTTGGAAATTCAAATTGCAATCTTTACTGTCCAGCCCTCAAAGGCTCGGCCTGCTTCCTCTCCCAGGGACAAAGTCTCCTCAACGTCCTGCCTCCCTTTGAGATGAACCCCCAACCTGATTCTTTCACCAACTGTAAGTTTTTCTTCCCCATCTCCCACTACCCCTCCTTCTCTTTCTAATTAAGCTACATCCAGGGGGCTAGGAGGGAGGGGAAAGGATTCTGAAGACTTCCGTGCTGCAGGTTTTGCGGGCCTACAGCTTCATGTTTTTTGTGAGGTGCCAACCACGCTGTGATCATTAAACCCCACAGTGGTGGTGGGGATTTTCTTGTTGCTGTTAACCTGGGAGCCAGCTACATCTTGTTTATCAGACTTGTTTTAATTCAGCTTGGTCAGGTTCCAAGTGTTGAGGTGGAGATTAAAGGCAACTGAAGAATCCAATTAGCTGCCCAGTCTTCTTTAAGCCAAGAACTCAGGTCACAAACTAGATCAAAGTGAAATTATTTCTCGACAGCTCTGTTCATTAAGGGGAGGGTGGGAGCTCACACTGCTAAGCTGGGCTCATTACTGGGACTGGCATTTTAAATACAGTATCTCCCCCAAATTACATGTTTCAGAGGTCAGAGGGAGAAACATAGATTATCTTACATGAGTCTCTGGCTAATAGAAAACAGAAAGCCAAAGAATGAGCATACGACTTCTAGGAAAAGATTTAAATGAGGCTCCAATTTTCCTAGGCAGGCAAACCAAATCTGGAAACTGGAATTGGCACCAATCACTCCCAGGAGAGAATCCCTCCTCCAGGAGATGTAGAGTTGAGAAATCTAGGTCTTCCAGGTGGCTCTGCTTACCATCTTCTGGAGTCCTTCAAAAACTCTTTCCACCCCTTTCCCTGGTTGGGTGCAGCTGCAAGGGAGGCCCTCTCACTGTGCAGGCAATCCCAGCCCCAGGACCCAAGCAGCCTTTGAAGAAAAACCACTCACCATTTCTGGTCTCTGGATCCCAGGCAGAGTTAGTCCCAGTGGCAAGAGACTCCTCATGGGTCTCTCTGTGTTTCTGCAGGTTCTTTTGAATGGGCTGCAGAACAGAAGAGAAGGAGGAGGAGAGTAAAGAAGACCCCGATCAGATTTGCTTTCTATAGGGAGAATCAAACATTGGATTGCTGTGAGGGCACAGTTCTATGGGAGCAAGAGAGAGAGAGAGACACAAAAATTACATTCAACAGAGCAGTCACAGACACATGCCCTTTTCAGTGAGCCCTGATTTTGAACTGAACCTGGATATCTACAGAAACAATGGCCTTTTCCCCTGTCCCCTCTTGCTTAGGAAATTCTGCTCAGCCTCTCAGGCAACCAGCAGCCTCTAAGTTAAAAGATCGTATATTTTAGGCCTTCAAAGCTATAGGCTTGGGGGATACCCGAATGTGGTTAAAGTTTATTTTTGCAGGCTTTAAGTTATAGCCACCTCTGAGGTGTCTGAAATCTGAACCAAGAGTGAGACCTGGCCTTAAACTTCCCAGTCTCTCTGGCCCATCCAGGTAGGGCCTCAGAATAAAGCCACTTGCCCCTGGAGGCCTGACTCTCTGGAAAGGTGGGAGAGAGAAAGGCAGACACGGGAGAGGAAAGAACAAGAGGCAGGAACCTGAAAGCTTTAGTCTGCACCTCCTGCCAGGGTCTTGCTGTTCCCAAACGACTAGTTGCTGCATAACTAACCACCCCCCTCCAAGTCTGGGGGGCCTGGGAAACTTTGTTATGCAGAGGCACTCAAAGCATGGGGTTTACTTTGGGGCTGCAGCCACCCAGGAATCCTACTAGCCTCTTCCTCTCCTTTTCCCTTTGTAGCTACAGCCTGCACCTTCACGGGGGAGATTGGGAGTGCAGATTTCAGGGAACTGCCCCCACCATTGGTGGATCTGAGGGCCCCAGACCCTAAGCCCCAGTAAATGTAGCCCAAAGGGATTCTCTTTAGATGATTCATTTGGAGCAGGAACAAATCACGTCTAGTGGGTTTTGTTTTTCCTCTCTGTGTGAGCGTTTCCCTCCCTGGGGTTTCATCATCCTCCCGGATCTTTCCATTCCCGCCTGTTCTCCATGCCCTGGGGCTGCAGCAGCGCTGCCAGGCCCCAGAAAATGCAGCCTGGATCCCACACAAGTTTTTTTAAATATGTCCCACACCACCCCACGAGCACCCAGTAGTTTGGTTTGGTTTGGTTTTAAATCAGCGCCCTAAAACGAGTTTTAAAATCCAGTCTTTTTCTAAAGAGAAAGGAGAGGACACTGAGGGCGCGGGCAGTGACTCAAGTGGGGTGCCTGCCCTCCTCCCGCAGAGAAGCCCTCGGGCAGGCGCCGGCAGCAGCCTCTGCCCTGCCTCTGGAGGGCCGCCCTTGAGGAGTTTCATGCTGAGGGTCGCGGAACCAGTGGCTCTCCAGGCTGTCACCCGAGGTGAGAGCCTGCACCACTCTGCGGCCCTGTTGATTTTGTCCTAAAAGCCTGAGCGAAATGGAAATACGGGGAGCCGGGGGCTGCTGTTGTCTTGTGAATGCTCGCCTTTGTCCCTCAGGCGGTCGGCCACCAGCCTGGCCATCTGTCCCTGCACTGGTCACTCTCATTTGGCAGGCGGGGCCGCAGACTACATAGGAGGAGGCCGAGGTGCGTGTGTCTCGAATGCGGTTAGGTGCCAGCACGAGGCCTCACAAGGTTCCCGGATAGCCCTGGCGCACGCCTTGGCCAACGAAGAGGCGGGAGGGGGACCTGACAGGGCGCGGATGTGCCGGACCGGAGGTGGAGGCGGGGGTCCCCCATCCCAGCTGTTCTCCTGGCCCTGCAGCACCCGGGACCCGAAATAGCAAGTTCACCCTGGGTCAGCCTTGCGAGAGCCAACTCGCACCCCACCCCAGTAAGGGCTCAGTCCGCACCTTTCGAGAACTGCTCGCGGGCCCAGGGCGTCGGCCTAGCGGTCACATTTCAACCCGGAGCAGCTTCGGAGGAGTCGAGTCTGGGGAGCAGGGAAGAGCGACCCGATGGGAAGGAAGGTGCCGAAGAGCCCTGGACAGCTGGAATGCCCGACCCTGCCCAAGAAGGGGCCTGCCCGCGGCCGCGAGAGCTCCAGACCACCAGTCTCAGCTGCTACTCAGTGCCTGGCCAAGACGCAGGGTCCGGCCTTCGAGGGCCGCGGGCACCGGGGACCTGCGTGGGCCTTTCCGCTGCGCTCCTCTGCGGGGCGCCCTCTCCCTGGCGCGCCTTTGAACCTGGCATCGAAGCCGCCTGATAGACACTTCGAACAATCCGGGAGAGAAACAAAAAGATCTCAGTTTGCCCGCATAAACGCTGCGAAGTCACTCTCAGTTTCCTGGCTTCTCGTAAAGGTGGCCGGGGCCGTTTACAGTAAGAACGGAATAATGTTTGCGACTGTACGACATAATTATCTCCAGACTTGCCTCTACCCCGCCCCCAGCTAGGGTTTTCACCAGCGAAAGCGGCTAATGCATTTGCACACATTAAACATCTTGAACGCATAATTACAGGCTGCAGACAGGCTGGATAATAAAATATCTCGGCTCGATATTTTTGGAAGCCTTTTGTGACGGTGCCTGGAATAAATAACAACCGCTTTCTGTGTCCTCAGCCATCTAACTGCAGCCACCGTTATTTCAGAACACCCCCACCCCACCTCGACGGTGCTTTTGAGAAAAAACGGGGCAGAAGTGAGGGACTTCAGCGGGAGGGTTCGGTCGCCTGGAGAGGTCTCCTGAGCCTCGGATGCGTGTGGGCTTGGAGGACTAGAATAAGGAGAAGAAAATATGTTCCAAGCCCTGAGGGCCCTCTTCCTCATTAGAGGCACACAAGTGGGGCCCTCTAGACCCCACACCCTCTGGGCACGTGCCCTCCCTGACTCTCTCCCTACTCGAAGACTAAAAAATTTGAAGAAGACGCAGACTACATGTTCCTACCTCACAATCTCTCTGAAAAGAGCGTCTCTATACTGAGCCGGCTCCTGTCACCTGAAAAATCTGCTGGAAAAGAAAGCTGGATATTGAAGCAGCAAGACCCAGAGGAAGAAGCTGCTGGTTAGTTTCTGGCTGGTTATTTTCTTCCACAGAGGCCTGGGACTCTAGCTTCCCTTGAGTCTTAGTTGCTTTGTCTGTAAAATGGAGATGATTATAATAACCTCGGGACCAACTTCACAGGTTGTTAGAAGGAAACACTTAAAAAAATTTTTATTACCGTATAACTTACGTATAGCAAAGCATACAAATCTTAAGTCCCCAGTTCACTGAATTTTATGTATGTATACATTTGTGTAACTATACAAAGATCAAGATAAAGAGTATTAACAGCCCCCAGAAGGCCATGAAGAAGCACTTTGAGAACTAATTTTAGACAGTGATAGTGTTATCTCTAAGTCAAGAGATCAATAGGTCAGTCTAGTATGTGGCCCTTGAAGACACTAGTGTCTTCAAGACAAGAATTGACAAACCAAATATACATGTCAAGGGACTGTGGGAATCTCTGGTCTGGAGGGTCATTTGTGGGCCTTTTCTACAGACCCCTAGGCACTCAGGGATTGGGAGGAAATTGAATATCAGGCTTTAATTCGTTTTGAGACAACGGAGTTCTCTTTTGTGAATGGCTGGGGCTTTATGTCTTTGGCTGGCATGTTCATTTACAAGTTAGGGGTAAGCCCAGAGAGAGAGGCCTGAGAACCTCTCCCAGGGGATGGAAATCTGAGTTGATGTCCATAAGACAAAGATTCAAGCCTTGGGGTAACTTATTTCAGTGTTCTCCCCTGAATCCAAGTCTGGTATAATGTGTGGAGGAAATTCCCCAAAGGAATATTTGGCTATGAGATACATAGGGTACCCAGTTTTCTGAAAAGTATAACCCCAATAGCTAATAGATGCAATTGGTTCTCTTCACAAACAATACAAAAGATTTTATAGAAAAAAAAAATTCTCTACTCAGATTCTCTGAACACCACTTCTTCCCAGAGGTGGCCACTGTTACTGATGACTTGTCTGTCCTTCTAGCTCTTTTGTACATTCTCTCTTTTTTAAAAGCACAGTGGTAGCTCTCACTATACATGCTGCCCTGCTCTTGGAGCTTTTCCTAAACACTGCCCATGACAATTCTCCATGACAGGTATACTGGCTCAGAAAGATACGCTCAGACCCAGTGACTCAGCCCAGATAAAACTGAAGCTAACCTCGTCTAGCCTGACACACAGAAAGGCTGCTTTAGCCTGGGTTCTAGATCCTGGCCTACAGTTTATGGGTCTGGCCACCTTAAAAACAATCAGCTAATTTGGCCACACCGTCATTACCAGCACCCCCTTTCTCCCTAGGGGAGCAGAGCCATGGCGAGGAGGCAGTAAGGCACTGACCATGAGTAGACCCTCAACCATTTTCTGGAGTCAGGGGAAATTGAAAGTGCGTCTTGGAATTTTTAACTATTCTGTCTAGTAGCTATAAAAACTGTGCTCAGGTCATTAGCCCACCCTGGGTGTCTACCTCCGATCCCATTTCCTTAGTCCTCTTTGGAACTCGATGGGGTGGCCCTGGGCCTGGCCCCCACCCAGGCCTGACAGAGGCAGGAGGGTATGGCAGGGGCCTAGGGCTTTTCCCCAGACCTTGGACCCCGCAGCGTCTGCCAGGAGACGTCGGAGGAAACGCGTTTACCACCTGGGCGACCTTGACTGCAGCCGATTAAAGTTTAATCCGAGGTGTGTGCTCAGACTTGCCATGTTATTTAAACACATCAAAGGTCATAAAAAGATTCCAATGGCGTGAGCCGCTCCGACGCGGGCCCGCAGGGAGCCAGCATTTGATTCGGGTGGATTTCCAGAGCCAGGATTTAGAGCGCAGGGCGGGAAGGGGAGTATAGGAAAAAAAGGGAAAAGTCAGCTTTCACAGAGGAACGCCAGACTTCAAAAAGGAGCAGGGGAAACCGAGTCTCGGCCCGAGGAGCAGAGACAGCGTCCTTCAATTCCGATTAACTGGGAAGACATCTAGCGGGAAGAGGTCGCAACTACAGCGGTGTCCTGCGAGCATCCTCCGCCGCCGCCCACAGCGACTGCAACCTCCTGGATTGGATGGGGGTCGGAGGCCTCAAAAAGAAGCCTCTCTCTCCTTGGCCTCCCCGTCGACAGTGGAGTGCTTACTCTATTGCCTGCATGATTGCAGAGCTGGGGCTGGGCTCCCACCCAGGGCAGAGGCGCAATTTCCACCTTGAAAGAAAGATCTAGCTGCCCACCGAAAGCACCCGGCCCAGGATCTCTGAATTCCCATCTAACCCTTTCTGGAGCTCCTGATCCTAAGGCCGGCAGATACCTGGAGCGCCCATATGTAGGTTCTCCTGAAGGGTACTGAGTGGCTCTGGGGATCAGCAGATTGCTGCAGAAGTTAAGTGAGGCCAGAGGCCCGCATTCAAAACCTCTGGAACTACAGACTGCTGCCCACCGGGCCTTTGGCAGAGCACAGGAGCCTAGCTTCTTAGGATTCAAAGGTGACATTTTCCCCATCTCTGCCGTGGGGCCATCCGACCAGACCTGATCCTGGCTGCCTTCTTGCATCCAGATTCTAATTTCTGTGAAGGATTGGCCTCTCTCACTACCCCATGGAAATGAGCGCCACATATAGAGAGCTGGCTCTTATCTGAGCTCCTCTGGCCTCACCAGCACCTGCGAACCTTATGGCCAAAAGATGGAGAAGTCTGTGCAGGCCTCCCCTTGTGCCTCGGAGATGCTCACTGCAGGTTCTCTATTGGATGCCTTCACCTGCTTCAAATGGGGTCCCCCCTTGTAGGGACATGCCTCCTTGCTGACCACTTTGACTGAGTCTGAGTCTGAGTCTGAGTTCTTCTCTCTGTCTTTTTTTTTTTTTTTTTTTTTAGACAGGGCCCCACTCTTTTGCCCAGGCTGGAGCACAGTGGTACTATCACGGCTCACTTCAGCCTCGACTTGCTGGGGATCAAGCGATCCTCCCACCTCAGCCTTCCCATAGCTGGGACCACAGGCACATGCTACCACACCTGGCTAATTTTTGTGTGTGTTTTTTTTAAGAGACTGGGTTTCACCATGTTGCCCAGGCTCTCTCAGTCTGTTAGTTGTGGCATTAGATCATCCTAAAATTGTCAGGAAGAGTGGCACCAGTATATTCCTTTTGGGAATGATACAGAAGGCCAAGGAACCATGTTCCACATTTCAATGTATTAATCCCAGGACATTGTGGAGCCCGCACAGGCAGCTCCACTGATAGACTTCCCAGGCCTTCTGTAGAAGGACCCCCACTCTGTCATGCTCAAGTCCCTGGGACTAGCATCGATCGGCCCAGCCTCTGGGAAGCAGCTTCTTCCTTTTTCATTTTACCCATCAAGTTGCCTACCCATACTCCTCCAGGATTTGCACTCTCCCTGATTCTCAAATGAAGGCTCAAGGGACCCTGTTCTTTGGCTTTGTTACACGACCACCTACAACCCCCCCTGAAAAAATGGAAGAACTGGACATGGTGGAAGAGAATATTCTAGCAAATGCCTTGAAACCCTTCACTGAGACATTAGCCATCTCTTATCACTCACAGAAGTGTTTCCCCAAAGGGGTACAAAGGCTATGACTCCTTCTGTGCTCCCACCAATCACCTAATGACTGGATAAACCTCAGGTAGGAAGACTCCCTTATGTTTTATTTAATCAGCTACAGACTATTAAAGTAGCAGTGGGTAAGGGTTAGGGGAAGAAAGGACTGCAGCTGGGCTAACCAGACTTAACTTCAGAAAAACTGAGACCTGGATCATATCACAAGTGAACCTGGGATCCAAGCGCCTGGATCAGTCCAGGTTCCACACTGAGTTCTAATGGGCTGCTGTGTGTGCTTGGAGCATAGCTGATCCCTTAATCCTCTCAACCTGAGACAGACAGACAGACAAACAGACACACACACACACACACACACACACACACCACGATCCAGAAAGTCCCCTCCCAGCTCACCTGGTTAGGCCCACACTGGACCCCTGGCTGGATTCCACACCCGCAGCCAATCAACTCTGCTCTGCTCCCAGCAGAAATCACACGGACTTCTATTCCTCAGGGTGACAAACGAGTCTGCTTGCTCTTGGTGACATCAAATTACTTTGCACCAGCCTAGGGTCCCATGACCTGACATAACCTCACATTAGATCCTAGAAATGTAAAGAAATATGGCCTTTTAAAAAGTGGCTGAGAGCAGGTAATTGCTAGCAGGCTTGAAGGGTTGTCCCAAGCTCAGCTCTCGACCTCTGCCTCTGAAGCTGATAGCGGCAGGAATTCACGTGTTTGGACTCTCTATGGGGAGAAGGTCGAGCCTGCATTTAACTCCGGACAATAATCAGATTCTTAAAGCCCAGGTTGTTTTTGAGCAGTTACAGAAATCACAGGGAGGCTTGGGACCTAAAAGGCAAGGAAGACTCAACAGCGGCACCACCCCCACTACCCCCCAGCCACGCTTCCGCAAAGAACAGGCTTCAGCAGAGAATGGGCTTCTGCTAAGCTTTAAAAACAGGCCATCTCTGAGCTGCTGTAGCTTAAATATTTGTGGAGAATTACAGTTTCATTGCTTCTTATTCTTCTCCCTCCCATCTCTCCCTTCCTCTTTGTCTCCTGGCTTGTCTGTGGCTTCTCTCTTCCCCTCTCCCTCTTCCTCCGAATTGTTTGACTTCTACAGTCCCCACCCTTACCCTGACCCAAGCCCTCACCCCTGTGGTGAACTCCATCTTAGGATCAAGAGACATAGGATCCATAAACCCACCACTGTGCCCAAGGCTTGGTAGGAGTCGATATTGCTGATACCCCACAGACAGTGGGCAGAGAGCTCATGGCTTCTGCAACATACAGTTGGAGTCATTCGAGATTATTGTAAAATATGTACACACACTTTCTTCTCTTTTTAAATTTACATACCTCTTATGAGTTTCATCAAATAGCTCTTTTCTAATTTATATGCTTAATGTAGAATTTATATGAGAATTTATATGCTTAGTGTAAAAGCATCCCAGATATTTAATCACTACTCAAAAAAATTAATTAAGGAACCATAAACAACCCAAATACAAAATACTACCATAGAAAAGATGATCAGTATCAACTCAGACAAGTGGGGTCAGAATTTATTAAGCAGCCGGGTAGTGTAAAAGTTGTCAAATTCAACAGTGTGCTATTTTCTGTTTTTACTGTTTTGCTTTCTGAAGTCACCAAGGCTTTCAGTTAAGTCACTTTCAGAGTTCGATGGGGAGAATCATGCTCATTGTAAATTAGACTACCAGATTAAAACAAAAGAAACCATAACACCTTTATTCATTCTTTTATTTAAAAATCCCTTATTGCTAGGGGGATATTTTCAATGCTCAGCATTGAATTTCTTTCTGAAAACTGCAGTTGTTCTGATGAGCCATCAAATCAGTGCAAACTTTCCTAGTTTAATCATTAGAAATTTCTTTTGAGTTTCTACCAGGGGAGGAGTTGTGCTGAAATGGAATATAGTCATGTACCCACTAATAAGTGAATATATGTCAATTTAGGACACACTAAGGACTGAGGTATGTTTTTTGTGTTCCCCCATAATTCTGATACAGCAACAGAAATTTTCTATTAAAGGACGATTTACTTATATAAAAAGGTAACATAAATCTTCCTCTTTCATATGTAATTTTTAGAAAGATGAGACAAGATTTTTAGGCAAGATGGGTCTACCTCTCAAACCCCTCTTTTGTCCAGCTTACTCCTGGGTGAACCCTCAGGTTTTTTCTAGAGTTTCATTGCAATAACCCCATTTCAAGTCCTTTTGCTCAATCTTGAAATATAACAGATCTTCGAAATCCTATGGTGGGGGTGAAATGATGTGACACTGTCTGGGATTTACTTCAAAATACTAAAGAGAGAGAGAGAGGAAGTGGATAATAAAACATTTGAAGATGAAATTATAATAGCGGTCAAAACTAGGAGCTGGGTACATAGGGGTTTGTTATGCTTGTGTGTGTGTTTGACAAAGTCCATAATAAAAGGATTTAAAAAAAAAAAAAAACTATGTGGGGCAAAGGTGGAAAAACTATCCCTGCCAAAGGGCTACCAAAAAACAAAAAAGTGGTCTGTTGGTTAGCACCTGTAGTTGCCCATTCCTAATTCTTGATTTCCAGAAACAGAAAACGACCTTACTCCCTTTTCACTTCTCTGGAGTCAGCGGCCAACCCTGATGCTTTCTTTCCGGTAAACTCCCTCTCTCAACCCATAAACTGAATATCTAAACCCAAGGTTGGGGGCTGATTGATGGAGCTTCCGTAGTCAGCTCCCCTCACCAGAGTGTAAATACCCATAAAAACTAATATCAGAAGTTCGTACTGAGCGCTTCGTTTCCCTGAGAGCTGGGCGGAACGGGGCTGGAGCCACGGGACAAAGGAACCGCGGCTCCTCCTTGAACAGTGCCGGGTGCTCTAAACCCGCTCAGCTAGGGTCCTTGGAGCCAGATGGAGGTTCTGGGGAGGACATGTGAACCGGGCAACGCCAGTCCAGGACTCACCTTCCACGGGGGACAGGTGTATTTACAAAGCCACAGGAGAGGGAATGGTGAGTGGTCGGAAAAGTGAGTTAGGAGATGCGCCAGCGAAGTATGTCACCAGGCTGGTCCGACAGGGTGAATTTTTTTTCGTAGGGCTGATTATGATGCCTGTATTTCACCCACATGACATTGGATGCGCACATTCACTCTGTGTGTATACGCACGTTTGATGCGTGAATGTGCGTGCATATCGAGGCACACACATCGTTATAATTACAGCATATAACGTGCCCATAAAACTCTGATCACACCTGAGTGTGTACTTGAAGGGGTCCTGAGTTCCCCTTCCTCGTCGCTGCGCTGGTGAATTTCCTTCCCTCCGTCGCGTTGTGCATTAAGAATTCGCAGCTGGGAACAGGGCCGTGGGAGTTCTTAGGAGTCTAGGGCGAGATGGACCCCCGCGGGCCCAGGCCGCCTGGCTGCCTGCGCTGCTTTCTCAGCGAGAAAGCCGAGCCCGGCTTTCGTGCAAACCCCCTACTTCCTTCAAACGCTCGAAGTCTTCAGTGTATTTGTTGACTTAAAGAATGAACTGCCCAGTCCTGGTTTCCTGTTTTGTTGCGGGTGTAAGCATCAAGCTAGGGTGGGGGTGGGCGCCCGAGGGTAAAATTCCTTTGGGCCAGTGGCAGAGTCGGGTACAGAGACCCCTCGTCCTCTTCACGTCGCAGCCGGACGGAATTCTCCAGGCCGTCCCGCGCTCGCCCAGCGCCCCAGCTGAGTGACCCGCAGGTCACTCCCTGGGTGGCAGGGGCCCCACAGTCCAGCAAGCCGGTGTCCCCCGCGGGCTGGCCGCGCACTGCGAGAAGGCATTTCCTCCTTCCGGCCGAGCCCTTCTCCAAGCTCCCTCTGCTTGTAACTCACGCTCCGGTCCTTTACGCGAAGGCTGTCTCCAGCTCCAGTGAAGAGCGATCAGAGGCACTGTCGGAGGAAAGAGCTCTTCCACCACCGCCGCCGCTGCCGCGGCCGCGGCCGCCGCCGGCTTCGGAGTCACCTAGGCCTCCCAGAGCCGAGTTTTGGAGGCCGGAGTTTGCGCCAACTCTGGGGAGTCCAGGCGCGGCTGGCCAAGGCTTTGCAGTGGAGGATGCTCCTCATGGGAGTCTGGAACCTGGTTGTTCTGAAATGGTGTGTGTCGGGTGGAGATCTCCTTGCTCAGAGACTCTCTGGGGGAAACAGGGCAGGGCTGTACTCAAATTGGAGTTTTCCTTGAGCTCCTGCCGTATTTTCTGAGGCCCTGTGCACTAGTGGCTTTGTGGTACCTGGGGGGGGGGGGAAGAACTCTACAGGCAGCAGGAGAGCTGCTCCTCCAAAAATCTGCTGTCCTTGAGATCCACCCCATGAAAGGATCTTAAAGGCAAAGTGGGGGTCCCTGTGGATCTTCCTGGACCTTGCACTTCCACTTTCACCATGTTAACATTTGGTCACCACAGTGACCGTAGCCCAAAACTATCCCCCCAGCCTCAAGCCATTTACTGCCTTATTATTGTTTCAAATGCACAAAAATCTAGAACAAAAGCTTGAGTGAGTGACTCAATGCGCCATTTCCCTCCACTGGCTAACTTCAACCCAGATCTCAGGACCTACCAACCCTTTCACCTTAAGAAAGAGGGTACAGCTTCCACCTGATGGGGACACTCAAAATTCCCTCCGTAAGCAGAGCAGTCCCCCACTTGCTCCTTTCCCAAATGATCTGCTCAAGTTTGGCTTCAGAGGTGCTACACTGTTTGACGATTTTGTCTTTTCTCTTTCTCTCTCCTCAGCCCCTCAACCAGTTTTTCCTCTGGATCTTTCTTCCTTTGACATTATCTCTGTGCCCCAGCCCACCTAGGGTGGGAGAGAGTGGGTTAAGATGTTCTGCAAAAGTGGCTTGTAAAGCTGCTTGGATACATTAAAAGTACATGAATATCCTGAAATACAAAGTGTCTTTAGAACCAACCAAGGAATGTTTATCCTAATGCTGGATGAATGCAAAGAAATGGTGCCAGGGAGCAGCACTGACAGCCTCCTCGGAGTTAAAGTGAGAGCAGGTAAATTTCATTTGCTAATGAAAATCAAACTCGATTAAAACCTGGTTTCCCTTTGTCCTTTTCTCCTCCAACGCTGGGAGCCCAGAGCCCCATGGACCAGGCTGGCATCCAGTCCCCCAACCAGAAAAACCGAGCCATAGTCTTTTTCTTCAGTGAGAAGCTTTTGGGCAACCAAACCCTGCAGGGCACCCTGGTCTATCCCAGGAGGTAAGAAGCCTTGTCAGCCAAGGCATTTTGGAACACTGAGAAATGCTCTGGTAATTCCTTAAACAAAGGCCCTGCTGCAGAAACTACCCTCCAGTCCTTCCTGCGCTGCCCTCTCAGGGCTCCTCTGGGGAAATCGGTGCACCACGCAGTACCTGGGAAATGACTGCAGCCTCTCCCACCTCTCCCACCTCTACTCATGCAGCACTCTGCTTGGCTGTCATGCCTAAGGTGCCACCGCGGCCGGCCGATCCTAGTGGGTGCCCTGGCTTCCCCAGTCTAACCCATGAGGAGTCTGAGAATATAAAATTGTCAGGTTGATGGTGCCTCTATGCAATCCTATAGGAATTCCTGAGCCTGGAGAACAAAAAATCAGAGGGACAGACAGCTCAGAAGGTCAGGATCCATTATTTCGGCAGGCAAGCAAATCTTGACCTTGCCGTTGGGAAAAGAGGAAAAACGCTAGGAGGGTCTGTGCTTGCTTCCCAGAGCACAGTCGCCTTAATTGTCCTCCAACCTTTCTTTTGCCACAGCAAGTCAATTTGTTGGCTGCCTGGCAGGGAAAGAAATTATATTGGGAACCATTAAGAAATGTCTTATCTCTCTCAGCAGAAGACAGGGAAGGAAGATTATTCTTGCTTAAAAGCGAGTAGAAATTCTGAAACTCAGACCCAAAATTATTCAGAGCTTGTTCTTCTTCTATAAACCACCTCCACTGATTGGTGGCTACAACTCATTACTGACAGGACATGTAGACATTTGAAAACAGTGGGGGCATGCCAGGACGCCATGGACCTGTCTGGTAGAAAAATAAAAATATATATTGAGATCCAAGACAAGAAGCGAACAAGCAGGGTGCGTTCTTCTAAGTAAGTATGTTTTGAGAAGGTTTTTTTTTGTTTTGTTTTTGTGGTGGTTGTTGTTATTGTTTTAACATGGGGGAACTAAAAAAAGCCCAGATAAATTTGATCACTAAAGGTGCACCATAAATCTCAATAATTCAGGCCCCAAGCTCTTTCTTGGCGAGAGAACCACATTTAAGGAGCAAAGCTTAATTTGAGATGCAATCCAAAGCCTTCCCCCAGTACCATCCCTTCCAGACAAACCTGCTTGTGGCTCCTCGGCCGACAAGATGAAATCTTGTCTCATCAATTTTGGTGAGGAGGGACCCAGTCGTCTGTGGAGCTGAGGCCCTTTCTCTGTGCGCAGGGTTCGGGGCTCCGGTGAAGTGGAAGGGGGAGGGAAGAATGTGGAGTCGGCCTTGGCCGCGGTGTGCACCGGCAGCTGCGCCATGGCCAGAGGTGAGCTGGCACAGGCGCAGGCTAGTGGGGGCTCCCCAAGCTGTGTTTTCGTTTTTCCGGGTCTGGCTGGAAAACCGAAGAGGCTCAAAGCCCTGGCTGAGTAGGGCGGAGGCAGAGAAGACTCGGTAAACACCGCCCCAAAAACCCCACGAAGGCACCAAAAAATTCTGGGCAGCCGAACTGAGTCAGAGCCGAGAACTTTAAAAAGAGAGAGAAAATTAAGCGTGAGGGCATGCGGGCAGTGGGCCTTTTGCTGCTGCCTGGGTCTCCACGCTTGCATGGCAGTTCTCATGCTGGCTAGACTGCAACTTTCAACTTGACCTTGGCCTCCAGCCGTGTCTGACCCGTATGTAAAACCGCCTTCAAGTCCCCAGGAACAGGGGCCTCGAACCCTACTCTGTCTCTTTGTCACTGTGAGTTTTACAATGCCACTTGGAGGGAGGAAGGGGGGTGGTGAAAGGGCCAGAAAGGAACAGAAAAGTCAGGTCCCTACAGAAGCTAGTTCCTGAGTCTGCAAATGACCAGTCAGGGAGAAGGTAAACTGGGGGCAAATCAATATTTACCCAGAACTGCTAAAAAGTCAAGAAGGAAAGGGCAAACTTGGAAGGGCGGGGGGTGGCTGGTGTGGTGGTCATAGAAGGTTTTATTGGGCGACACTTACATTGGTCAGGACAAACCCAGGATCAGGACAGATAAAAGCCCAAGCCCAGCCACATTGGTCTGGACCCTGCAGGAAGCCCAGGGGCCTTAGAGAGCAGACGGTGGGGTGTGTGTGTGGGGGGGTGGTGGTATGCATGCTGCTCTGAGTTTAGGGCTGAATGTGCAAGCTAGGAGCAGAGGACAGGTCCAAGCCTGGCTTCTCACCAGTCAGCCTAGGGTGGAAAAGAATCCAGCACTCTACCCAGCACTATTCCGGTAATGTGCCCACTTTCACTTTGAACGCTTGTTCCTCTTCTAGGCATCTCACCAGCTCACAGTAGTGAATCAGGAAGTGGAAGTATGTGACCCTAAAGCAGCAGGACCCCCAGAGCCCCTCGTCAAAACATGGCAGCTGCAAGAGGGGTCGCTGCTTGGTTCTTCAGCACCAACACCCTGCCATGCTAACAATAAAAGGTTGCATTTCCCAGGCACAGAGGAAAGGCTTCTTGGGCTGGTTCTTGGGCAAAGAAGGACTAGGCACCCTCTGCAGGCTGGAGATCCTACTTGAGGGGAAGGCAGGAAGCGGCCCCAAAGAGCCCCTTTTTCTTGTCCCAAAATAGAGTGAAACAGTGGATTCCCAGGTTCCTGGAGAGTCAGGTCCGGTCCACAAAGAAGCTGGAGGCGTTAGAGCCCAGAAGGGGGGCTTGAGTCACAGCCAGAAGCACAGCTGGGGCTTGTTCCTCTTAAGCCCCTTCCAGAACAAGCCAGCCACACTGGCAAGGTGGCAGCATGGATGAATGGTGCACACGGATCACTCACTCTATCTCAAAGTCTCTGGAGGAGGAAGCGTTGTTACAGGGTCAGAGCAAGGAACAGGCTGTATACCTAAGTGTGTGAATGCGAGTGAGTGTGTCAGTGTACACGATGTTTGTGTGTGTGATGAGTCGTTCTGAGTCTATGGGTCTAAATGCAAACATATGAAATTGCTCACTAACAGTGTGGACAGGGAAGGGATAGGGGCTCCTAAATGCAGTCCAAGCCTCCAGTGGAATGTCCTAGGATATCCGCAGGAACCGACAAGCAGCAAACACCCTGCCACTGTTTCCCTGGAAAGAGCAAAATCGCAACTCCATGGAAGTTGAAGGCGCCGATGTCCGTCCTAGGGTCTCACTGCAGAAATACGCGCCGGTTCCTGGAAAGAAAACAGCCCCAGAGGCCTCAAGAAACACCCATTCTGAGCTAGGCTGGTCCCGTCCTCCCCACTCTCCCATCCCTGACGGCCGGCAGAATTACCTGACCTGTCCCCACCGCTCCAGATCGCAACCCAATCGCGAGCCCACCTCCCCTCCCCGCCTGGTTGCGCGGGTCTGGGCCCCACTGGGATAAAGGGAGGGAAGGGGGGCGGAGATGGGGCCGCCCTTCCTTCCCTGCCCCACCCGCACGTTCCCCCGCCTCTCCCCCCGGTGAATGCTGCGCGGCGGCGCGGCTGGCGCTGGCGCTGGGGATGGCGCGGGCCGCGGCGGGGACGGCGGGTGCACCGTGCAGAGCTGGAGTCGGAGCCGCCCGCTTTGCATACGCCGTGGGCGGAGCGGGGGGGCCGGGCCAATGGGCGGCCGCCTGGCGCGACCCCGCGGGGCGCGATCCGCCCCCCTCGCTCGGGCCCCGGCCCCGCGCCGCGCGCTCTTCACTTCTTGGGGGCTTTTTAAAACAGCGCCACTGGGGTCTTCTCCATGCGGCTCGGGCTATGACAGCCTCCGTGCTCCTCCACCCCCGCTGGATCGAGCCCACCGTCATGTTTCTCTACGACAACGGCGGCGGCCTGGTGGCCGACGAGCTCAACAAGAACATGGAAGGGGCGGCGGCGGCTGCAGCAGCGGCGGCAGCGGCGGCGGCGGCCGGGGCCGGGGGCGGGGGCTTCCCACCGGCCGGCGGCGCGGCAGGGGGCAACTTTCTCGGTGGCAGCGCCGGCTGCGGCGCGCTGCGGCGGCGGCGGCCAACCAAGGCCGCAAGCACTGATGGCGCACCCGGCGCCCTTGGCGCCAGGAGCGGTCCCGGCCTACAGCAGCGCCCCCGGCGAGGCGCCCCCGTCGGCTGCCGCCGCTGCCGCCGCGCTGCCGCTGCCGCCGCCGCCGCCGCGCCGCGTCGTCTCAGGAGGGCCCTGGCCCGGCGGGCCCGGCGGGCGCAGAGGCCGCCAAGCAATGCAGTCCCTGCTCGGCAGCGGCGCAGAGGCTCGTCGGGCCCGCGGCGCTGGCCCTATGGCTACTTCGGCAGCGGCTTTCTACTATCCGTGCGCCCGCATGGGCCCGCACCCCAACGCCATCAAGTCGTGCGCGCAGCCCGCCTCGGCCGCCGCCGCCGCCGCCGCCTTCGCGGACAAGTACATGGATACCGCTGGCCCAGCGGCCGAGGAGTTCAGTTCCCGCGCTAAGGAATTCGCCTTCTACCACCAGGGCTACGCAGCCGGGCCTTACCACCACCATCAGCCCATGCCTGGCTACCTGGATATGCCAGTGGTGCCGGGCCTCGGGGGCCCCGGCGAGTCGCGCCACGAGCCCCTGGGTCTTCCCATGGAAAGCTACCAGCCCTGGGCGCTGCCCAACGGCTGGAACGGCCAAATGTACTGCCCCAAAGAGCAGGCGCAGCCTCCCCACCTCTGGAAGTCCACTCTGCCTGGTAAATGGCGACATATTCCCAGCCCTGGTCTTCCGGCTCTGCTCCAGCTT